GGCAGTTCAGCGGGCTTCCCTCTGATTGGGAGTTGGTTACTCCGGGTCCCGATAGTAACTTCGCCTGTCCTCCCAAGGGTTGTCACACTTTCTTTGTCGACCAAGTTGTTTTCGGTCTACGCTTCCCTATACAAGCCGAGCTTTTGGAGATAAGCGACTTGTATAGAATCCCAATAAATCAGTTTTCTTCAAATGCTCTTTGTATCATGATAGCTTTTGTCGTTGTGTCTCGTATAGTTCTTCATTTTTTCTCGGCCGAATTTTTTCATTATTGTTATAGCTATCGACTTCAAAAGGGGGCCCATTGTTTAATTCGTCGTCCTGGCGTTACCTTTCTTGATGATCTTTCGTCAAATGTCCCCGAATGGAAGTCGAAATTTGTCTTCATTCGATCTCCCGTCGGTGCTTATCCATATACAAATAACTGGATAAGTACCAAAGTTAAACAGAATAAACGGTCTCGATCCGAGGACTTCGAAAGACTCTTAGGAGAGTTGAATCAATGTACTTATAGCGCTTGACGCATAATAAGAGACCGTGAGTTGGTCAATCATGCCCGAATCGTCTTGTATGACGATCTTCCTCACCTCGATGATCCTCGTAAGCTGTTCAGCATTTCTTACAATACCGAGTCGTCTCTTATTTTCTTCTAACCTTTGCTTTTATTATTATTTTTCAGTTAATACACTCAAGCGTTTCGAGGTGAAGAAACCGCCCACTGCTCCTGTTCCACCCGGCAGGTCTGGTGCACAATCGGCTGCCACGGCTCGAAAACGCAAGTCCTCGGGTCCGAGTGCCCGCAAGAGGCCTCAGGATGATCGCGCCCCTCCCTTGCTCCTTGGCGACCCTAAGCGTCGTAAGGTCGACAAGGGTAAGGAGAAGGTGGACGAGGGGAACGCTGTCCCCAAGCGGACAGAATCGTCCGTTACCTACAAGGACGCGTTGGTCAAGATGCCGTCCCGACTCTGGAATCATCCAGAGCCGTATAAGGTGGCAGAATATCTCCACTCCGTGCTCCCCGAGGCCGATAAGGCTCGCGTCGAGGGGAACGAGTACGAGCGTTCTTGCTACGCTACTCAGTGTCTGGTTCGGGTATGTGCTTTGTTCTTAAGTTTTTACGTCTTGCGTATTTCTTTCTGCCTTTCATTATTTGTTTCTTTGTGTAGTTCTTGGCGGCTGCTCTCCCCGGCCTCAAGGCCGGCACTCGACCCCCCACTTCCTCCAATCAGGCCCTCGAGGAGAAGTGTGAGGCGCAGCTCAGGGAGATTACCCAACTAAAGAAAGAGCTGGAGGATTCCAAAGCCCTGGACGATAAGCTGAGAGCCTACAAGGCCATTGCCCTACACGAGAAAGAGAAGCTTCAGGCCGACCTCGAGAAGGCTCAGGAGGCGAACATGTACGAAGTGGACATCGGCATCGTTGAGGGCCGAAAGTCATTCTTGAGGACTGGCATAGGCGCTGCCTTTGTTCGTGAATATCGCAAGGAAGTCGTCAAGGCGTTCTGCAATTCTCCTGAGTTCCTCGACAAGCTCTGCCCCGCCGCCGTTCAATATTTCGACTATGCCTTTGACGCTTGGGAGGCTGTGGTGGCGGGTTCTGAGTTTGCTGGGAAACTCGACCGCGAGGCCCTGAAGCGTACACTTCCTGACCCTGACGGTTATGAGGGCGATCCGTCCCTTCCGGACGACTACCCCTGGTGGACGGGTCTCGAGGCGAAAGTTGTTCGGGAGGCTAAGCTCACTTATCAACTTGATGCTCCCCTGCCTTCTCCCGTCCATCCTGTCGGGCCGAGTGATGGTGATCAGGTCGTGACCGTCCTCGAGGAGAGCGACGAAGATGTCATAACTTAGTTGTATTTTCGAGGCTTATTGCCTTCAATTTGTCGTTTTATTTTTGTTCTGATCAACCTAATTTTCCAACTTGTAAAGGTTGAGACGACTCTTTGTAATGAATCTTTTTTTAAATATTACTCCTTATTTTATCTTTGACTTAAGTCGTTACGCTCCTGCAACATTGTTGTTCATGCATTCCTCGAGTTTTACTTGCAACTACGCGATTGTAGATTTATCGACATTTCTTTTGCTCACACATTTTGTAGTTAGTGCTTTTGCAGTTGTAGACGGGTTGTATGAAATAACTTGTTGCTTGAGCTGTCTTTCACAGTCGCGGGCTTTTATAGCTTCGCCGAGATTTCGCTCGAGGCACGCAACCTTTGTTGCTTGAATCGACTTTTATAGTCGGGCTTTTTAGCCTTGCCGAGATTTCGCTCGAGGCATGCAACTTTTGTTGCTTGAGTCGACTTTTATAGTCGTGGGCTTTTTAGCCTTGCCGAGATTTCGCTCGAGGCATGCAACTTTTGTTGTTTGTGTCGACTTTTATAGTCGTGGGCTTTTCAGCCTTGCCGAGATTTCGCTCGAGGCATGCAACCTTTGTTGTTTGAGTCGACTTTTATAGTCGTCATGATTAATCGGCTATATAGCCGTTTCGAAAAATTCAGTTTATCCAACAATTATGTAAGAAAAAAAATAAATATATAGACACCTTCGAAGAGTACATTCAAAATCCATTTCATTACTGAATATGATTTGATCGTGGTTCAGTACAAAAAGCAAATTCGAGAACATTACTCAAGCATAAAAACGTTTGAGATGGGTAACATGCCAAGATCGCGGCAGCTGTCGTCCTTCTATATCTTCAAGTTCATATGCGCCTCTCTCGAGCACCTTGGTGACTGTGTATGGTCCTTCCCAGTTTGCTTCTAGCTTCCCGACATGCTTCAGGGCATCGGCCCTCTTTAGTACGAGGTCTTCTACTTGAAATCGCCTGGTTCGCACTTTCTTGTCAAAGGCTGCACGCATCTTTTGTTTATACTCCACAGATCGTAACCAAGCCTCCTCGCGTACTTCCTCTATCATGTCGAGGGCTTCTTCCCTTAACTTATCATTGCTTTCTTCTTCGTAGAACATTGACCTGTGCGAATCTAAACCAACCTCGATAGGCAATAAAGCATCCATCCCATACACCATATGAAAAGGTGATTGCCCTGTCGAACTCCTCGGGGTCGTCCTATAAGCCCATAAGACGCTTGGTAGCTCATCGACCCAAGCGCCAGATGCTTTCTCCAACCTCTTCTTTAATCCCTGTAGAATGGTTCTATTCGTCACTTCGACTTGTCCGTTTGCTTGCGGGTGCGCGACGGAAGCGAACCGCTGCTTGATCCCCATGCCGAGGCACCATGTTTGGATCCGCTTTCCCTGGAATTGTGTTCCGTTATCTGATATTAAGACCTTTGGTATCCCGAATCGACAGCAGATATTTTTGAACAAGAATTGTATCATTTTGTCCTCGGTGATCTTGGCCAGAGGTTCCGCCTCCACCCATTTGCTGAAGTAGTCAACAACGACTACCATGAACTTCCTTTGACCTGTTCCCATTGGCAGTGGCCCTACTAAGTCGATTCCCCATTGGGCGAAGGGGATTGGACAGTTGATAGTTGTCATTGCCTCGGCTGGGATATGGGGAATTTGACCATGGCGCTGACATCGATCGCATCCTTGTACTAGCTGTTCGGCCGCTTTCCGTATTCTAGGCTAGTAATAGCCCGCTCGAAGAGCTTTGCCTGCTAGAGCTCGCGATCCTATATGCGACCCGCAACATCCTTCGTGGATCTCTCTCAAGACATGATTCCCTTCTTCTTCAGAAACACATCGCAGGTGGGGCCCAATCATTGATTTCTTATACAAGATTCCTTCGACTTCAAAGTATTTACTCAAATATCGGGCCGTTTTCTCTACCTCCTGTTTGTCTCCTTCCTGTATTCGGCCTTGTAATAGTTCACGAATTGCTTTTCTCCAATCTTGCTTCTCCTCGACCTCCATTGTTTCCTTTAGAGCGCTCCCCTCCAAATGCAGGGTGGTGATTTGATTTCCCATCTTTCTTTCATTTGAACTTGCCATCCTCGCGAGCCAATCGGCTCGCTTGTTTTCTTCTCGAGGTACTTGTGTTAGTTCAAATTTTGCCAAATTTTGTACCAAACTCTGGATCTCTTCGACATATTTCAACATTCGATCTTCCTTAATTTCGCAGTTCCCCAACACTTGCCCTACGACAAGTTGTGAGTCGGAATGTGCCACGATCTCCGTTGCCCCGCCTCCGATCGCCAGTTGAATCCCCTTGATCAAGGCTTCATATTCTGCTTCGTTATTCGAGGCTTAAAATCCCATTCTGATGGCGAAGTCAAGCTGCTCACCTTCGGGGGATATTAGGACGACTCCAATACCAGATCCCCTGGCTGACGAGGACCCGTCGACGTGCATCATCCATTTCTTGCTTTCTCCTTTGGTCCCTTCTTGGATAAAGTCGGCTAGAGATTGGGCCTCTATAGCCCGTCGAGGTTCATATTTGATGGAAAATTCGCTGAGTTCGACCGCCCATTTTACGAGTCGACCTGACACGGTAGGTCGACCCAATGTCTCACCGAGCTGGAAATTTGTCCTTACTAGTATCACATGGTTCAGGAAATACGGCCTCAATTTTCTGGCTGTGAGCACCAACGTTAG